AACGGCCACCCTGCTATGATGTGTTGGGACCTGCTTCCCCCACGAGTACCTCTCTGGAGCTGCTGGAGAGCCTCAGCACGCGGTCGATGTACTCCTTGGCCTTGTCGTGGCGGCCCATGAGCCAGAGGAAGAGGCCGGCGTAGTACAGGGCCGTCCCGCTGGCCGTCTTGCGGATTTCCTTCAGGCTGCTCTCGAGCTCCTGAATCGCTTCTTGGTCTGTGAATCCGAGAGAGGAGGGAGAGGAGGTGTGCTTGGCCCTGCAGGGGACACTGAGGGCCCAGGCAGCTGCCTCTGGACACTCTGAGGTTCCCTCAACACATGGAGCCGATGACACACCAGCCCAGGGCCTAGAAACCAGCAACACTGGCCCCTGTGGTGCCCCGAGAGCTTCCCAGGCATGGACTTGGGCTGTCTGCCTGAGATTTATCATTTCTCCTCGGTGCCCAGCAGTATGCTGAGCAGACAGACCAGACCCGAATCCTCCACCTCAGGCCTACAATTCATTTTGGGTAGGGAAATAGTAGTCTGTGGTCTCTTAGAACCTCTCTAGAGAAGTGGAGACCAGCAGTAGAATTACTTATATCAGGGTGATTTTTCCTGACAACATCATGGCAAAAGAAAGCAGGGTGTCTCCCCCCAACTCTTGGGATCTGGAAGGACGACCCCTCCCTCTGTCATGCTCTCTGCCTATGGCTCCCACTCAACTGGGTCTTCTTTGGGCCTTGCATGGGAGGGGAACAGCAACCACTCCTCATGGGCCAATAGAACCTGCAGTCACCAGGGCTCACACCTCCTTCTGTAGCCCTCATGGGGCTGTGTCTCTCTCTGGAGGGGGGCGATCTTTCCCTGGTGGATCCAGGCCCAGCTAAGCATAGCTGCACTCACCAATGGTTTCACAGCCCTTGTGAGCGTAAATGAGGGCCATGATGGAGCACAGGGACATGTCTGGGTGATTCCGGAGGCTCTCCAGGTTGCTGATGGCATCTTGGATGCGCTCTGCCAAGAGAGACCACGTGGTTATGCTCTTGGGCTCTAAGCCCAAAGGGCAGGAGGTTCCATGGAAGGTACATGGGGGCCCTTATTAGGGCTGTCCCAAGGCTTGGCACCCCCTGGCTTCACCCAAAATCAGAGAACTAACTGGTCCAAAAATTCCCCAATGGCCTGAGGTCCCTGAAGACTGAAGCTCCCTGGAAAGGCTGCTGGCCCCATGGCCCAGACTGCCAGGGGCTGGAGGGCTTGGAGCTGAGGCTGTACCAGTGAGTACTCACAGGGATACCTGCGAGGCTGAGATTTTTGGCTCATGTCACTTCTGAAGAAGAATGGTGGGGCATTTCCAGCTAGCTGTTCAAGAGCCAACGATTACATTTAACCCTCCATGCCCACTGATGTTGGCCATGGACAGCTCAGCCCATCCCCAGCCCAGGACCACCTTCTGAATGTCGGTGAGTCAGCACCTGCACGGGCCCCACTCTCTGCCTGCTCCTGCACCATACCTGCGGGTACCCACACCCACCACTTCCTTCCTTTCCTGCACTCCTAGCTCTCAGCTTCCAAGCCTGGGATCAGCTCAATAATCATGCAGTCATCTTTCCACCCACTCGTCCAGATGGGGAAACTGAGGTGCATTGCAGCAGTAGTGAGCCCCCTGAGGTCTCAAAGTCAACTAGATATGGATTGCACGGGCTTCTGTGGACTAGCCTGGGGACGTAGGCACTGAGTACAAGACTGTTTCCATGACTGGGGTAGAAGCGGTCATCTGGTGGAGTCAGTGTTAGTGCTGGGCTAGTGCCCAGGTCAGGAGGCCAACACTGATGAGTCCTTACCTTCCCTGAAGAGTCCGTAGGCTTTAAAGAACTGCAGCACGGGGTCGTTGCTGAATTTTTCCAGACCCATGGCCGCTGCCTGCTGCACATGGCGGAAGTACTTTTCCTGGCTATAGTAAATGATCCCAGCCTGTGGGAGGGAAGGCACAGTTGCAACAGCCCTTTTGTGTGTCTTTTCTAGAACATTCGGGCCTTATCCTGTTCACCAGCCCCAGGAGCAACTCCATNTACCTGCCGGTACCCACACCCACCACTTCCTTCCTTTCCTGCACTCCTAGCTCTCAGCTTCCAAGCCTGGGATCAGCTCAATAATCATGCAGTCATCTTTCCACCCACTCGTCCAGATGGGGAAACTGAGGTGCATTGCAGCAGTAGTGAGCCCCCTGAGGTCTCAAAGTCAACTAGATATGGATTGCACGGGCTTCTGTGGACTAGCCTGGGGACGTAGGCACTGAGTACAAGACTGTTTCCATGACTGGGGTAGAAGCGGTCATCTGGTGGAGTCAGTGTTAGTGCTGGGCTAGTGCCCAGGTCAGGAGGCCAACACTGATGAGTCCTTACCTTCCCTGAAGAGTCCGTAGGCTTTAAAGAACTGCAGCACGGGGTCGTTGCTGAATTTTTCCAGACCCATGGCCGCTGCCTGCTGCACATGGCGGAAGTACTTTTCCTGGCTATAGTAAATGATCCCAGCCTGTGGGAGGGAAGGCACAGTTGCAACAGCCCTTTTGTGTGTCTTTTCTAGAACATTCGGGCCTTATCCTGTTCACCAGCCCCAGGAGCAACTCCATGCAGTTGCCCTCCCCCCTCCCTCCGCCCCAGAAGGAGTTTGGAGGTTTTTGTTTTGGAATTATCCACAGATTCTGGTTCAACTCAAGCTGTCTTAGGAAGGATCTAAGAGGAAAGAGAGGGGACCAATAATAAGAATAATTACATCAGTAGTTAGTTACAACTTATTGTGGGCTAACCACCTGCGGGAAACTGTACCCAGGGCTTTACATCCATTATCTTCTGCAGTATCCTCTCCATATCCTTCCCAGTTAAGAGGGCCAAAGGCCATGGAGACTGGGGCTTGACAAAGGTCACCCAGGAACAGGGGCTGAGATTTCAAAGCGAGTCTCACTTCCCCTAAGGTTTGTGGGTGTTGGGGTTGGAGACAGATGTGGTTGGATTCTAACAGCCTTGTGGGCCATATGAAAGGGCCCAGACATCATCCTGAGGGTAAAAGGAAGCAGTTGGAATGGTTTTACGCAGGGGAGAGGGATGTATTCAGATGTGTGTCTTTGCAAAAACCACTTTGGTGGCTTTGTGTGTGGTGGGGAGTTTGGTAGGGGGGACTGCTGGTGAAGAGAGCAGAAGCAGAGAAACCAGTTGGGCGGGGACTGTTACAGGTGCCCAGGGGAGAGATGGCCGTGATCCTGGGCTCAGAGATAAAAGGAGTGAGTGATCTCAGAGGACATTTAGGAGCTGACATTTCCTGCTGATAGATACGATCAGGGAATGGGTAGGAGGAAGAGTTAAAGCTGGGGGATCAAATGGTGGTGCCATCTATTGAGGTGGGGGGCACAGGAGAGGCACAGGCAAGGAAAGGGCAGATGATGGCAAGATGATGGAGATGGGTTTGGGTGCGTTGGTTTGGGGGAGCTTGGGGGACAGGACTGAGTGGGGATGTTGATTTGGGGTTCAGGGTGCACAGAGGGAGCACCAGAGAGGATGCACTCTCCAGAGAGAGTGAAGCGAGAAGCAGCCAGGTCCCCCCTGTAGCGGCGGATGACAGCGAAAGGCCGGTAAAGGGGACAGCAGGCACGGTCAGAGGTGGCAGGAGAGAAGCGGGGCGCGGGGTCACCGGATCACGGGCGGAGAGCCCCAAAGGAAGCGGCCGGTCTGCGATCGGGCCACGCACCATAAGAGAAGAGTCATTGCTGCCCATCCCGGGGCGCTCGCGGCTCGCCGTCCGGGCCCGGTGGGGCGGAGCGGGCCGGATTCCCGAATCTGGGTCCCGGGCACGCCTCTCGCAGCCGGAAGTCAGAGGCGCGCGCGTCCTTGGAGACGGAGCCGCGGCCGGTTGCTAAGAGCGTCAGACTCGGGGCGGGAGTCGCGGCGGCCCACGTGACCAGGCGCTGGCAATTGAGCGCCGAGAGGGCGAGCGGGCGCTGCTGGCGCTGGTGGCGCTGGGTCGCGTCTCGGTTCGGGACACCGGCGCCGGAGCCGGGCGGCGGCCATGGGCCTGGGCTCCAGCA